TTCAGAAAGCAAGCACTAGAAGTCTCGTTCCTCTAATGGATCACACCCAAACCCTAGAAAATTAGAGGATAAAGAGGAAAAAGGAGAGGGAAGGATATTTTTGGTTCTAACTCTTAGAGTAATGATGGACGAAAATATGAACCCCTAAGAGAGTTTGTATAGGTGACTAGGGATGCTAAGATAAGACAGTTTCCTTGGATAAACCTTATCCCCTCTTCTTGTTCCTTAAGGATTCCTAGGCTTCCTTAATGCCTAAGATAATACCTAAAAACCATATAGCAACCGTCCAGCCTCTTGGGAAGTTCTAGAATTGGTCAATGTTTAACTTTTGAACATTGTCACCTTTAGTCCTTCCACTTTTAGTTATTCTAATTAATCCCAAAACTAATTCTAATTAATTTATGATTAATTCTTATTAAAATAATACTATTTCTGCTTAATATAATGTTCTCATAATATATTAATAAATTATATATTTTTATTTCTAATTAATTTATTAATCTTATAATAAATTAATAAATCTCTCTCTCTCTCTCTCTCTCTCTCTCTCTCTCTGTAAATGGCATTCCAATCTATTACTAGGTTAGATGACAACTGAAAAAGACTTTTCTAATAATTCAAGATTATACTAATTTAGTTATTTGCTTAGACACATAATCCAACATTAATAGCATAAACATACAATCAAAAGAAAGAACATTTGAGACTTTTAAATATGTAAATTTATGGAGTATTGAGTTCTTAATTTATAAAGTATAGAGTTCTAAATTGTTGGAGTATTGATTTCTTATGTCAAGTCATAAGAATGTTTCATTAAAATGCAACATCTTTAATGCAATCATTATAACTTTGTGCCCTAAAAACATGTTGTCATTCTTTTATCGAGATTTTGTGGCTACATTGGTAATCTTTCAATGTGGATTAAAAGATGAAGCATGTTACATGTTAATACACATTAATGTACAGAGACAAGACACATTGTTTGATGTGACTTTGTTTTGGGGTTTAATAATTGAGAATATAAAAAGAGTAGCGGTGGTATAATTGCTCCCGGATTTCAAGATTTGACACCTTCAAGCTAGGCAATGTAATTTTGAACAATGTAATTAGTTTTTTTTTTGTTGTTTGTGATATTAAATAATTGAATTTTTTTCTTAACATGATTATGTTAGAGAAAAACTTTAATGCTATTATGTGTTTTTTTTTTCTAAAAAGAAGTTGCGTTTTTCATGATCTTATTCATAATATTATTTTATTATGGTGTTATTAAAGTTTGGTACTTTTTGAAAGCTCTTCTATAGTAGAATACTATTCTAAATTCTCTTGTTATAAGCATGTGAGTATCCTCTATTAGATTCATTGTTATTGTATCAATTTACATCTTTTAAGGTTTGGTAAAAAATCTGTAACACCCAATTTTTACTATAGTTGTAGATTGTAATAAAATATGAGATAAATGTATATTACTCTTAAGTCAAAATAATCATCATAGACACATATGAAATTTCAATGCAAGTTCGTAGATATATAGAACATGTAAATCCAACTTCATATAGAGAAATTATGCTTCTTTGAAGTTTCGCAAAAAAACCGATACGAATAAGCGTATCGTAAAAGAGTAAAATGTTATAAACCACTTTTTAGCCTAAGCAATATAAACAAAAGTTGTAGTAGTAATTAAACTGAGAGCATGCATATAAAGGACATCTAAATCTGACTTTGTTAGAGGAAGTTATGATTCTTCTAAGATTTAGTGCAATAGTGTGCACACTAATATCGACTTTTAGAACAGTTAATTATTAGCCAAAATGATCTAACCAAGAGTTGAAGATCTTGTTGATAGGAACTCATCAATATAAAGATAGTCGAAAACAGACGTCGGATGAGAGAGTTATGAATTTTATACAGGCTTGAACAATCTAAGTCTGTGTAAAATAAATAAAGTCAAAATTAGCTGACGAAATCTAAATGAAAGTTGTAAATCTCGTCGAGACCTTTTCGTGGATATAGAGAACATCAAAACAGAGCTCGTACAAAGACGTTAAGCAATTCTGAAAATTTTTAAAAAATCATGCTCGAATGTCGTGCATAGCTTGCCCCCGAAGTCAACCACACAACCCCACCCAACTCGTACCATGTGTCAGCAAGCCTTTGGAGCTACGAAACCATGTATGTGGCGTGCAACCTCGTATTCTTGCCTATAAATAGCTTCCAACCCCATTTCCACTCCCATACACATTCTAAACATTCTCTCAACTTCTAAGCTTGATTATTGGCATCTTTCTTATGAATTTCATAGTATTTTAGTGTAGCGAAGCTCTGGGCAACTAGGCTTGACTGGTAGACGCTCTCGGGTCAAGGTTTTGTCAGTGCAAATAACTCCCTTTAAGTTAAGCTACACTTACTAGGCTTTTAAGTGTAACTTATACCTCAATTTATAGTCGTTATTATGAATGTGTAAATAAGGTTTATCATTAATTCTATTTATAATGTTGATTGATCTACTTATGGGAAAGATGACTAGAATGGTCATGTTGGCTTGGTTGTTGGATTTCAAAAAGGTTATATGCCAAAATGATCCAGTCTCCCAACTGTATTGTCTGGTTGATCCTTATTTGATAGAACTATCGGTATTGATTGAGATTAGTGATATGTCTATCCTACATTTCCAGGTTCCCATAGGAACTAATAAACAATAGTAATATAAGTTAATAATCATTGGACAGCTACTCGTTTGGAGAAGTGCCCACTTAACTATTTATCCATGTGAAACTGTCCAGGTGAGTTCATCTCACTATATTGTATACTCTAGTATGTATCCACTGTATGTTACAATATAGTTGCATGTAGTGTACACTTAAGTAATTAGGCTAGATAGCTTCCAGTAATGTTGGAACATTTCCTACTCTATGTGTTAATGTATTATGTGGGAGTTGAGGGAGGACCAACTTCATGTTGAAGGCCAACAGACTAGAGCGGATTAGCTTTATACTAAAGGTCATGGTGCGGACGAGCTATATGTTATAGGCAAAATGGGGCGGACCAACCATATGTTGAAGGCCAAGGGATATACCAACTATATGTTGAAGTCCATTATGTGTATGCATTGTATATATGTTGTGGTATGAAATATTTTGATGGAATTCACTAAGACTGGGCTTATAGTTGTTGAATAACTACTTTACAGGTTATTCATCTAACTGTGGAAAGGCTTTAGCATGACTGTATGAGTATCGAAACATCAATAAAATTTTATAAGACTTTCATGGAGACACTACTTTATAAATAATCATGTAATAATTGTTTTAATGTTTTGTGCAAGTGATATATTTTAATAAATAAAAATGAAAAAAAATTGCCTAGAAAAAATAAGGACGCTACAAAACCTAGGGATCGACCTGTTAGCAGCGACAAGTACATTTAGCGGCAACAATTTGTGCAATAGCGAACAACTTACTAGCGGTGTTTTGCTTTAGTGGTGATATGTGCAACTATTAGCGGTGACATTATTGCTCTCTTTTCTTGTAGTGTCTTACAAATAAAAAGATTACAAACGTTCAACTAAGGAAATCAACCATTTAAAAAAAAATCAAAAACATTGCTCTCTTGTTAAAGATTAAAAAGTCAGCAATACCACACACACACACACACACACACACACACACACATATATATATATATATATATATATATATATATATTTGAGGGAAAATTGAAAAAAAAGTTACTATATTACCATAAAATTTCGAATTTGACACCATATTTTTTTCGCAGTTATGTCACTATATTAACAATTTTGTTGCAATATCAATCAAATGACCAGTTCTACTAGTTCTGCTACTAACCATTTTTCATGAATTGTAATAAAGTCACTATGTTTACCAAAATTTCGATTTTAACACTGTGTTTTTCTCCACAATTATGTCACTATATTTACAATTTTGTTGCAATATCAACCAAATGACCCTTTACTATCAATCTAGCATGTTACCAAATAAATGACATGATAATATTGTGATGTGGAAGCCACATCACACATCTATGTGTTGTGGCGTGTTTTATTAAATTACAATTTTAGTAAACATAGTGAGTTTATTGCAATCGGAGAAAAATGGCTAACGGGAGAACTCATAGAACCAATCATTTGGTTGGTATTGCAACAAAATTGTAAATTTAGTGATATAATTGCGAAAAAAACTTGGTATCAAATTTAAAATTTTGTGGTAATATAATGATTTTTTTTAGAATTATATTTGCCCTTTATTTTATATATAAAACATATATAAAACAAAAAGAATTAATCAGAAGTTTATATGTATTAAACATATCTAATTGTTTCATCTAGACTTCAAAAAATTGTAAAGCAAAACCGATGGTCTTTTAAACAACTAAACAATAAAAAAACAAAAACCCAACAAAAAATCAAAGTAGGATAAGAAAAGCAGGATCGTTTAATAAACATAATAACATAACCAAAATACGAAGAAAATTAGATATTTGACTATAATAAAAAGAAGAAGAAAAACAAACATTTGAAGATATATTAATTAATTAATTAGTTAATAAAAATAGTTTATATAAGTCTAGTTCTATGAACTCTAGTCACGTATGAGTTTATAACAAATGTAGCTTACGAAAACTTATTAGGAACGTCTCTTGTCGCATGTCTATCGACATACACTTGTTAATTTATAGTACAAAACATAACAATTGAATTTAGAACTTACGAGCGTTTGGATAGTGATTTTAACAATCCTTTCTTATAGATAATGTCAATCCATATTAAAGTTATATGCCTGTTTTCAAATGCATATGACAAGAGGAACAAGAAAAGGAATAATTTAATATGAAAAACTAGATAAGCAATCTAGATAAGGTATCTTCTTTGTTTTGTATATACACGTGTCATCAATTCCCTTTCTAATTAGATTTTTGGAACCAAACTTTTTGCTTTTAAAGAGTTCGGCTTATAACTATCCTATATTGATAAGCACACCAATATGAATTTTTCAATACTTAGAAGAAGTTTCTCGTTGAACTCTTCAAAACCTCAACATCAACCACATCAAGATTTAGAAATGGATGAACCCCCATTTTCTGTACTTAGAGGAAAAGAGGTGTACATTAACAAAATTCTCTCAAGAGATTCATCAACCGGTCAATCATCACGTATCTACTACAGTAGCACAACGAGCTTAGGGGTGCCATTTCAATGGGAGAGGAAACCAGGAACACCAATGAATCCGCCACTAGAGATTATTTTACAACCACCACCACCACCATTGCCACCAGCAGCACGAAGTTTAGCACTTCCACAGCCTAATGTTGACATGAGGGACTCCTCATTGTCTTGGAAGTTTTGGTTATGGAGGAGGAGATTAAGCAAGAATATGAGGCTGCATGTATATAATCGAAGAGGGTATCATATGAAATTTGGTAGTAATGCAAAAGGTAACAAGGTTAGTAGCGTAGATGGTGATTTGGATGCTGAACTTGTGGGATGGACTCAACGTGATTCAAAATCATCATCCTGTTCTACTTTATCTTCCTCGACTGCTTTATTATCTAACCATCAAATTGAAAGCTTTAGAGAAGGGGTTCCGTTTTGTTGTACAACATGGAGAAGACATAAGTGGGGAAATAAATGATGGTATGGAATATACGTTGTTAAATGATTAAAATTTGTTTATAGTAATTAAAAAGAAGGTATCGTATTTATGACTTCTTCAAATTTCCAAGATTAACATACTTATATTTTTGTTTTTGTGTGCTTTTCTGAATCTTTATATAAATAAACAATGGTATTTCAACCAAAGATCTATGCATGGTTATGTGTTCCAGTTATATTCATTTAAATTAAAATCATAAAGTGGATTCAGACTTTAAAGTTTGTAAAGTCTTCTTTGATATAACTGAGCCAAAAGGTCTCTTTCAAAATTGCTTCTCTTAGTTCCAAAATGAATACCAAATGGCTTCTAGCATTTTTTTTGTGAATGTACAAGTTTTATCTGATACACAGATGAGATTATGAGTAGATTAGAGTTGACGTTCCAAAAAAACTCCAACATACATAGAATGCCATTGAACATTTTTTAGGGTCGAAACTACAACAAAATCGACTTTCATCCTTCTATAATCCGCCTGGAAAGCCACTTAGTGATCGGAAAAAAGTAATAGCGTATTATGTGGTGGCTAATTTTTTAGCGACGGAATTAGTGATGAACTCTTCCAAATCATCGATGGAACTATTCGTCGCTAATATATTACATATTATTTATCAACTTCGAAACCAATGTACAAATGACTATAAATAGCAACAGATTTGTCACGGATTGGCAATGGATATTTAGCGATTGGTGTTGGTTTTTGAAGTTTATCAACGAATTGCTTTGCAATGAATGACCATCAATGATTTAACTATTAGTAGTATAGATGGTAATTTTGATGCTAACCTTGTGGAATGGACCCATCATGATTGAAAAGCATCATCACGTTCTAATATTAGTTACTCAATCGGTTTATTTGTTTTGGAAACAAAGAATATTCAATAATAGTAGGATTCCAAAGTTAGTAAGGGTACAAAAAAAAAAAAAAAAAAAAACACACTGCAATATAAATCGAACACAAAAAAAGGGAGGCACACCAATCTGATAGTTACACGATAAGTTTTTACCCTATGTTTAAACCAAATGAACCACAAATATCTAATGTCATCAACATGTGTATAGATCCAATGAGACTAATAGGGTCAACCTGATTTTGCTATAAATAGAATTTCAAGAGAAGAACAGGATCTTCACATTGTGATCTTTTCTCCGTTTTACCCTAAAGCCACCCACATCAAAGGAAGGACTGAATTGACTTGATGAATACAAGTGGGAAAGACCATAAAGTTGAATGAAAAAGGCCCAAATGCTGTTGGGCGAGAGTCTTCAAGGCCATAAAATTTAGGCTGGATTGTTTCTGTTGGGTCCCACATGAGGTTTGTTAGTCAAACGTACTAGGTTGCAATTACTGTTTTGCATTACTCATATGTGCGACTCTTAAATTTGCGCTACAATTTCATGCGAGAAACTTTTTCATGGCTCATTTCCTATTTACCTCATCATCCTCGTTAGAGTCCTCTGCCTCTGATACAATTTTAGTTGAAAACTGTTCAAGATAAATCTCAAATTCAACTACCCCGATTCGAAAGACTTTACCTATAAATACAACATTGACATGCTAGTTGATTTTCTTTCAACTTATTGATAAGATGAAAACTTTATACTATGCTATATCATCAGCATCCCAAGTATTTTCAATCACCTCAAGTTCCTTCCCATAATTTTTCGTAATGGCGGATACGTTAGTTGAATCTTTGTACTGTAGAGGGAGTCCCAATTTCTTAGCCCGACCGGTTGTAACTAACAAAGATTATGGCGTAAGTGATTTTTCTGTATATTGCATTGAATAAAATACCCTCTATATAGGGAGAGATACAATCGATACATCCTTCTAATAAGGAGATTAAATAGGGAATGATACATATTGTAACATCCTAAAAATCATGACCAAAAAGTTTCATTTTAAAATCATTAAAGAAACCCATCATTTGTCAAAAACATGAACCATCATATCTCGAAATCTCAAAAACAGCATATCCATATCAAACACATGTCAATATCCATATCAAACACATGTCAAATAAATATCAAAGTAATAACATCCCATGGTAAAATCATGGTGCATGCACTGCAGTTATTGCGAGTTTTTCCCTTTGCTACCAGAAGTACCTGAAACAAAACTAAAAACTGTAAGCACGAAGTTTAGTGAGTCTCCCCAAACTACCACATACCATACACATAATCACATAATAACATATCATGGTCCTTGCCCGCTACATCGGACAATGTCCGGCATCAGGCCCCGCCCGACATCGGATCGAAATCCGATATCGGGCCACGCCCGGCATCGAGCAAAGCTCGGTATACATATAAACATATCAACAATACATATAACAATCACATAACATAAACATATAAACATTCCTCGGGCTCCGCCTGACATCGGACCAAAATCCGGAAGCCTACAAACATTCCTTAGGCATTGCCCGACATCGGATCTGTAACATCCCAAAAATTCAAGCCAATTTAAAACTTTTAAAACCTATTAACCATTACAAAACTTGTTTTCAAAATGTATCATATCAGAGTATCCTAGAAACAAAGTCATAAAAAGTGAGGAGTTGTACGATCACGCCTTTGCCTTGCCACGATCCCCTGATATACCTGAAACAATAAACTGAATCTGTGACCAAAAGCTTAGTGAGTTTTCCCAAAATACCAACAGCATACAGATATTAACCATATTATATATCAAATACAGAACAACTTGCATAATGAGCCTTCAGCTTGATTGGACCACCTCGCAGGGTCTACAGCCTATCTGGACCGCTCTCGAGCCTTCGGCACGACTGGAGCGCCTCGCAGGGCCTACAGCCTATCCGGACCACTCTTGAGCCTTCGGCATGACTGGACCGCCTCGCAGGTCCTACAGCCTATCCGGACCGCTCGTCGGGTATGTTGGCCTATAGCACAAAGCAGGACCGCCTCAAACTAACCCCCAATCAAAAAAACATGTGCACATAAATATCATACGCTAGCTCATATCATATAATAGTCAAACCCATCTAACAAATCACTAATCATAGCAACATCCTAATAACTGGGAATAGACCTAACCGATCATTAACCATATCATATATCAAATACAGAACAACATGCATAATGAGCCTTCATCCTTAGTGGACCACCTCACAGGGTCTACAGCCTATCTGGATTGCTCTTGAGCCTTCGGCATGACTAGACTGCCTCGTAGGGCCTACAACCTATCCGGACCGCTCCCGAGCCTTCGGCATGACTGGACCGCCTCGCAGGTCCTACAGCCTATCCGGACCGCTCGCCGAGTATGTTGGTCTATAGCACAAAGCAGGACTGCCTGAAACTAACCCCCAATCAAAAAAACATGTGCATATAAATGTCATACGCTAGCTCATATCATATAATAGTCAAACCGATCTAACAAATCACTAATCATAGCAACATCCTAATAACTAGGAACAGACTTAACCGATCATTAACATAACATTATCCTATAAACAAGACATTAACCTAACTAGGTCACTAAGCATAAGCATACCACCATCCTAACTACCAGGATGTAATCAATAAACATATCATACCATAATCCAGATACAAATATATAAAAGGTCGGCCTTGGTGCCTTAGACCCTATTGATATAGTGAGGATAACTCACCTGGAACTACTGAAGTCATGCAGATGAAACTCCAACTGTTGGTTGACAGATTCCCGAACTGCCAACATCAAACAACACCGAATTAATAATTCGGTTCGAAGCCCAAGGTCCAACTCACACTTCAATGGCCCAAAAGTAAAGTAATGGGACAAAGCCCAACATATGGCCTAATTTTCAAAATAGGACTCAGACCACTACATGTTCTTTCCTTATGGCCCATCCATTAATTCTAGTCCAAACTATTGGTATATCAATGGCCAAATATCTCATAATCATAAACGCCCAATAATGGCCTAATTTTCCAAATTAGGCCCAAAACTCTCACATGGGTCTTATCCTCAAACCCATACAATTATTTATTCCATTTACTTATTGTTGGAAAGCCCATTGATAGTCCAATCACCAAAGCTCAATAGAAAGGCCCAACTTTAGGCCCAAGTGAAATTAGGATTTCACATAAAATGATGATTAGGGTTAAGTGTCCATACTTAACCCATTAAGGACTTAATCCATTAAGGACTTAATTCATTAAGTCCACTATTACCTTAAGTTAATTTGCCAATGATTATAATTTAATATTTTAAGTTCATTAAATAGTTTCGATGCGGTCTCGATAAGTCCCAAATTAGGGTTTCATGGCATTAGGGTTTTCCAAAAACTAATTAGGGTTTCCAATCCATCTTTGCCCAATAGGCCCAAAACCAAGTTCTTAAGCCCAGTAGGGTTTCCTGGGCCTATAAGTGCTTCATTGGGCCCATTAGGGTTTCAAGCATCCCAACCGTATCAAACATACTAAGGCAAAGCCCAACACCACACAACATGGCGGCCAACGGCGGAAGGAGGTAGCAGCCACCACCTAACGGTGGTGGTGATGGATTTTCTTTACTATTCCGATTGATTACAATATTATAACAAGATATCCAATACACACACACACACAGACTCACGAGAGCACACACACACACACACACATCCGACCAGCCTTGTGGCAACGAGCGGTGGTTGATGGTGGCAGCCACCATGGCTAGTGGCCATGGTGGTCCCTTACATTTTCGGCCCACAAAATCACACACACACAACACACATGCGTATTAGAAGCAGAAACACCCCATCCACCCACCTGGTGGCTCACGATGATGGAAGAAATGGTCCCGACGGCGGCTCACACAATCAGCCTCAACGTGAGACTCATCGTCGTTGATGGTTGAGGAAGGAGAAGTGAAAGGTGGCAGCTTCTTGTGGTCATTGTCGTCGGTGGAACCGCAACAACGGTGGCAACCCACCTTCGGACAGAAATGGTGAAGTGGAGGTGGAGGTGCGAATCCGGCAGCACCCCAAAGGTGGTCTGCTGTTTGTTGTTGATCCTGGGTCTTCGAAGCTTCTCCCTAACAGTGCTTGGCGATGGCACTCCAGTGATCTCCGATGGTGACAAGGGTGATGGATGAAGGTTTCATGGTGGTGATGGAAGCTGAAGGGCAGCCTATTGAGCAACGGTGGCAACATCACACACTAGCTGGTTTCCCGGCTGCCCTCGAGGTCTCCGGTTGCAGAAAACGCTGCTAGCGGCCTTGCTAATCAGGAAAACAGATTGAGATGGAGGTGGCGATAGAGCAACGACGGATGGAGTGGGAGTGACGAAGATGACGGTTGCACACATGGTCCCTAGGGTTAGGGTTTCAGAACCCTTAAATACCCGCTTCTAATTAAAAGTTTGCCATAATGGAAGCTATAGTCCCTCCTTATAATATTCCTTTCAATCAAAGCCCATTATTTACCTTTTCAACCCTGCCCTCTGCAATTCTTTTCAAATCAGGTCCAAAACCTACACTTCAGCCCCTGACTCCATAAAATTCTTTCAGTATAAGTCCCACACTTACAATTTAACCCTTGGAAATCAAAAGTATCTCATTTGGCACCTCGAAACCAACACCCCACTAATTATTATTTGATTTTGACAATAATACTATAAAATAATAGTAAAACTATTTCTCGGGGTTTCGGATTTATTATGTTAATTATTCTATTTTAAAATAGGATGTTACAAGATCGAAGTCCGGAAACATACACAACAGACACATGATAGAATCATGAAGACATCAAGCATATAAACATTCCTCAGGCACTGCCCGACATCAGATCGAAATCCGAATACACATAAACCTACATCGGCGACTGCCCGACATTGGACCTTAGTCTAGAACTAACCAACATATATAAACGGGCCAAAATTGGTGCCTTCGACCTATTCCTACAGGAGGAAAACTCACCTCGCAAAGCTGAATGTCGACTCTCATGGTAATGAATCCCTAACAAATGCTCCAACGACTCTCCGAGTTGTCATTACCAAAATAATACTTAACCATAATCCAATAATCCTTTAGATATCATTCCATACTCAAAACCCCTTCACGGGTCAACCCTGGTCAAGGTCAAGGTCAAGGTCAAGGTCAAAGTCAATGTCAAGTCAATGTCAAAGTCAACACTCCGAGTTGACCTAACTCGTTGAGTGCTCCTCTAACTCGTTAAGCTTCCATGTTTCTCAGAATCGTGATAAAACGAGTCAAATCGTCAAGTCCTTCCTCATACTCGTCGAGTTCACCCTCTTTCGGAATTAGGACAATTCAACCCAACTCACCGAGTTCCTCTATGAACTCGTCGTCTCTAACTCCCATATGGTGATAAAGCGATCACATATCAATCTTAGAGAACCAAGATGTACCCTAAAGCTGGTCAAGTAAGTCATCAATCCTCAGGAGGGGATAACTGTTCTTCATAGTTACCTTTTTCAGCTCCCAGTAATCTATGCACATTCGATGTGACTCATCCTTTTTCTTCACAAATAGGACCAGGGCTCCCCATGGAGAACTGCTCGGCCTGATAAATCCCTTGTCTAACAGCTCTTACAGTTGTGTAGATAACTCATGCATCATATGGTGCCTTGGCTATTAGAGCCACCCCAGGGACTTGGTCAATCCTAAACTTTACCAGTCTCTCCGGAGTTACCCCAGACAGATCCTGTGGGAACACGTCCGGGTACTCTCGTATGATCGGTATATCATGCATTGTCACCTTACGCTTATCCCAGGTATCCATAACATAGGCGACATAACCTATGCAACCCTGCTGTAGGTAGCATCTAGCTCTCGTTGATGAACACAAAGTCGATCCACCCTGCAGTCTCTTGCCCTTAATCACTAAACCTCCCCTACTTAGGGTCTGAACCCGTACTAACTGCTGCTCGCAGTCGATCACCACCCCATTGGTGCTCAACCAGTCTATCCCAATGATAACTTTATTCACTCGTAGGGGAATATGGACTAAATCCACATAAAAATTGCTCATCAAACAACTGCAGTGTACATCCCCGGTGAACCCTCGCAACTTGAATGGTCCTATCATCTGCTATCTCTACATCAAGTGGGCAATCCAGCTCCCCTGTAGCTCCTGCAAATTGCTTGCTGAGCGCGAGTGACACAAAAGATCGGGAAGCCCCCGAATCAAATAATACCAGAGCTAACATATCGTTCACAAGGAATGACCCTAAGCAATAATCAATATAAATAAAGAGATAAGGAGATGATACATACCCATTACCACATCAGGAGATGCACGTGCCTCCTTTGTTGTCAACTGAAAGGCCCTGCTCTTCGCCATAGGCGCCTTTGTCTGGCCCTATCAGCATCCGTAATCCTCACTGTAGCAGGAGCAGGTACCGCCACCTTCCTTGCTGCTACTAAATTTGGGCACTTTTATCGCTTGTGTCCCCTCTGATTACATTGGAAGCAAATTAGATCTGATATTTTGGTGGTGGTGGTAGCAGTCCAATCCCTGCTAATATGGCATGTTCGACCGCACTTAAAGTAGCCCAAACTACTCGATATGCCCTGCTACCTCCTCGATCGGTGATCTGATACCTTGGGCTTCTTACCCGTACTCCCTATTTAAACCCCTTCTGGTTTCCTCTTTTTCTCCATGTAACATCTCGAGTCCAAGTATACCTTATGAACCTTGATCTATTGAGTTTTTGTCTATTTTGGTCCTTAATATAAAAAAAGTGAAAAACGAGTACGCGGGGCGTACCTGAGGAGCACGCTTAGCGTACTCATCAGCGTGCATGTGAAGCATAGACCACCTAGTACGCTGGACGTACCCGTGAGTACGATGGGCGTACTAGGCCCAGAGTGCAAACCCTAATTTAGGGTGAGTCCATTATATATGGAATATGACAGCCTCATTTCTGGCCACAATTCCTAGAGAGAAAACCCTAAGAGTGCCTTAACCTTCGTTCTAGAGCTTGTGTGTGTGTGTGTGTGTTTGAGCCTTGAGAGTTTTTATGTGGTTTTGAAGAGAAAAGGAGGTCTTGAAGAAGAAGGAGTTGGAGTCTAAGCTTCTAGATCCAAGCAAATTTGAGTAGGGAGCTTCTTGTTGAGTTATAAAGCTTCAGACTTTGCCTCTCTTTTGTTATGAGCATTTTATTTGAGTATTTTAGGGTTTTGTCCCAAAAAGGTGGGAGTTTTTTGCAAAAATGGGTTGAAAATAAGAACCATTTGCAAAAATGGGTTGATTTTTATTTCATTTGTAAAAACGTGTTGTTTTTTTTTTTTTGTGTCCCCACATAAAAATCAACGTGTTTATATATAATTTTACATTTTCACCCCTTCAACTTTCATAATAACCTTACAACTTATATGTTATATTTATTATATATATATATATATATATATATATATATATATATATATATATATATATTTTATAAAAGAATTATTTTTTTTAGCTTTTTTACAACAAATGTAAATTTGTATATATTAAAAACATATAACCGAAATACGTCCATTTTGTTATTGAGATTTACATCATTAGAAAATTTTAATAAACACATTATAATTGATACCAATATCGAATATATTACATGTTACAAAATTATAAAATTACAAGATAATTAAAGACACAACTACAAAAGAAATTAAACATGAACTAAAAACTAAATTAAACATAAAATTACAAGAATAATAAAAGTTACATGGTTCACATCGCATTGAATCTTGGTTGAGAATTTGAACAATTTCTCCTGTTATGACCAGGTTGATGGCATAGTCTACATTTACGAGGTTCATCACGATGACGAACATCCATCTCATTACGAAATCGATTTGCACGCCTCCGACGTCGACCGACTGCACATTTTGAGTTATCTGCTTGAATACTCCAATCAGCTTCTAACCAATAATCAACATGAGGAAGTGGTGAAAACCCATCATTATATTGTTGCTTGTATGTCACAGTTGTGTAAACATGATTGATAATGGAAAAAGGGTTATCCCCTCTAAAACGACAAACTGCAAGAGCATGTGAACAAGGGAATCTTTCCATCTGCCTCTTACCACATGTGCATGTATGTTGATAATAACTAACAGTGTGGGTATTTCCTCCGTTTTCATTTATTCGTAACTTGGTGAAAATTCTATAGACACCTTCATTATAGTTGAATTCAGTTAAAGTATGACTTTGTGCAGAAGTGTCACGTTTACGAAAGAGGCGCCACATACGTGATGGTAGAGGTGTATTGCAATTCATTGCAGCATCACTATGTTTTCTAAAAATTTGTATAGTTCTATTAAATGTAAGATCAATACACGCCCTAATAGGTAGTTGTCTTGCTACTCGTAGTGCATTATTCATACTCACAGATATATTTGTCGTTAACGATCCCCATCGACGATTTTCATCATAAAAAAGACACCATTGAGTTTTATCAATTTGGTTTAAATACTGCCAAGCTTCAAGATTGGTTGCTTTGATTTGTTTCGTATACTTCACAAACTTTCTTTTTTGTGTTGTGCTTCCAATATCAAAACAAAATGATTTAAGCCTCACGTTCTTGTACTTTTTCATGAGATTGCTTATGATGTGTCGAATACAAAATCGATGTTATCCCAATGGCTCTTTCCATTCCTCTAGACTTGTTATTGCATGAATTATTCCTTAATGTCGATCTGAAATAACACACACTTGTCTGTCTTGAGCAACAAAATGTATGAACTGATACAAAAACCAACTCTAACTATGTGTAGTTTCCTCATCAACAATGGCATAAGAAACTGGTAATATATTATTGTTGGCATCTTTTGTAACAACAATAAGCATTTTACCCTTGTACGAACCTCTCAAATGACAAGCCTCAATGGAAATAACAGGTTGACATAGATAAAATGCATTAACTGCAGGTCCAAAAGCCCAAAAAAATATACTTAAATGTTGCCATATGTGATGAGCCATTTGGATTATGAAACCATTTCACAACGGTATTAGGATTTGAAGTTTGCAAAGTTGCAATGTACTTGGGTAACTCTTCAAAGTTACTTTCCCAAGTTCCATAAATGTTCTCTATGGCTTTTCTCCTACCATGCCATGCCTTCTAATAAGAAACATCGACATTTAGAATATTTTTAATATCTGCTTGTATATGTTTCACTGGATAAGCAATATCTTTTTCAATTGAGTAGATGATGTAGAAGGCTATAGTTTCAGAGTTTAGACTTCTGTTGTCATTTCCTCTACAAGATCCAAAACAATTGTGTGCATCCACCCAATGTGTGATCTTCCACATATGATGGTTTTTCTTTTTCATTGCACGAACATACCATGTACACTGCG